GGCTAGGATCCCTGGTGGTACTCCCACCTCATGATGCTGGGAAGGAGAAGCCTGGTGGGATGTCACCCAACTCAGTGTTTCTCTGAGGAAGAAAGTTCAGTGAAAGGCACAAGGAAAACTGTATGCAGGTGCTAAGCAGGAGTCTCTAGATCAACAGGTGGAGACTGTGGTGTTGCACAGTTCACTTGCATGCCAGAGAGCATCTCCCTGTCCCCACAGCCACAGCATGAGCTGGAGCACCCCTGACCAGACCTATGCCTCACACTCCATTCAGGATTTCTCAGCTTCTGTCCTTAGTGGAATGTGAAAATATACCTGAGCATCAGCTTCCCCTGGGGACTTCCACTCTCTTTTGCTATTCATCAGCACTGGAGATAAAGAAGAGTAAGCAAGGCAGGGCAGCCCTCTTGTCCTGCAGCAAGCAGCAACGGTTGCAGTGGGTGGGACAGAACAGATGCTAGGAAACAGCCAAGGTCCCAACAAACCCTTCTGAAACTTCTCTGGGTCTTTTTTGTCCTGGTCACCAGGGCCATCCCATGGCTCCCCTGGGATGTCTCCTGCTGTGGATGGGGACAACTCACAGTTTAGCTCCTGTTGCCGCCCTCACCCTTTTAAGCCGTAGACCCCACTACCTGCCAATACAGGACAGGTGGGGAGACAGCCCATGCCTTTGGCTCCAGATAATTCCTCCTCCTGGAGGTTTGTGATCTTGATAAGCCCATGTCCTAGATAGCTGGGGCTGTAGTTTGCAAGCTTGTGACTCCCACAAGGTTCCCAACAAACTCAAATGGAGAAATTGCACATCAGCCCTCCTCACTCCCTCCACATTGCTCTGTTCTCTACAGTCACCATTTGTAGTCTTGGCTTCCCGTCTGTGGTTCTCTACAAACCCAGAGCCCTATGGCTCCACACTGAAGGGATTGGAGAGCTACACATGAAGAAGGTGGAGGCCTGAGTTTGTCTTTTGGGGATGAGAAATGGGGAGGAACCGATATAAATGGGATGCATCCCTGTTTGAGGCATGACTGTTTGAGCTGTGCACACAAAGGATCCTCAGATGTGTTGCATCCACCCCTTCTTTCCACTGATGCTGGGAGAACTGACATCTAGTGCTCCCCCCAGCTTTTTTACTGCTGCAGTGAAGTGCTTATTTTTCTTCTTTTCTCTGAGGATTTGGTGGATCTGGGCATGGAAAGGACTGCCTCAATGCTGGCTTTCTCAGCCTATTTCTGGGAAGCCAGGGGTGTCTGCAGATTGGAGTGAGGGGTAGTGGCCCAAACACCTGCTTTCCTTGAAGGGCAGTGGGTTTTGGGAATTAGAGCCAGGTCTGCCTGAATGTCAGCTTCCCTGAAGAGAAGGAGGTTTACAGCCAGATGAAGGAAAAGCCTCGCACAGTCACTTTTTGGGAAAGGGTCAGGGTGTGGCTTTGAGGTGGCAGAGGAGCATACATCCCCCTTCTTCGCTGGGGGACCTTATGACAGGTGAGAGGGGCAGAGGGTTTTGGGAACCTGGGGGTTGATGGATAGCCAGGAACAACTGCTGGGGGGAGGGGCAGTGCGCCTAGGATTTCAGAAGGATTTCAGAAGATCTCATTATCTGTCTTCATGGTATTTTTGTTCCTACACATTACAACCATAAATATCAAAGTTATACTGTATTATACTATTACTCTGTGGCAAAAATAGTATCTATAGAACATTCCAAAGCCAAATACAAAACACGTTTTGGTAGTTAGGCCAGTATTATCACATGGATTAGGTGAGAAAAATGAGTTCAAAGAGATGTGGTGAGAATTCCCATATATGAACAATTGAGGTTGGGGGGGAGACGGACAGACATGACACACAAAATAGTTTTATCGTCCCCATTGAAATTCCGTTTGAATAATTTTATTTGGGAAAACACTTTGTTCTGTATGATAAAAACACACACGCACACATGACTCAAGAAAAGGAACATTCTAAAATAAAACTAACATACATAAAAATGAGAGTTTTGGGGTTGGGTTGGGTTTGGTTTCAAAATAAATGCATAATATCTTACTGTCCATTGCTTATACAATATTCAGCTTCCATGCATTTTTAAGAATGAGACCATCAGCGCAGAGCAAAAGGGGTTTGAGGATTGATCTCAACAGGTGCTGTATATAAGAATGAGACAGACAAACAACTACACATCTTCCAAAGCCCAAATGTATTTTTAAATTGAAGGCTGCCCTCTGAAATAATTTAAAATAGCTCTCTATCTTAGGAAAAGTTTATGATTAACTGATATGCTATTTGCACTTTCTACCAACACCTGTTAATCACCACATTTGGATCTTCCAGTTTTCCACTGTGTACTTTTTGTCTGGAGAAAACCTTGGGCTGGAGATAAGGCCATTTCAAAAGGTGTATTTCTAGCGGCTCACACTTCCATAGTTTATAAGGAAGCGCATTTTCTGAGAAAATTTCTGAGGTGGTTGGCTGTGGGAAACTGAAGTCCAGTTTCAACTTGCAAAAGTTTTGAGGCAAAAGACTGCGATTTCTTGTGGCTGCCGTATGTTGTTGTTGCTTATGTCACAGAATGGGGATGGAAGGCCTTCATGTGAGTTCTTAACCCAGAAATGCTGAAATGTGTCCATAGCTTCAAAAGAAAGCCTGTCTCTCTCTTAAGGACTGTGAAGTATAAGAAATAACACCTCTGGCCCAAGGGGTCCTAAAGCTGTTGTACATTTTTGGGCTATGGGCGAGCACTTGCCACCACTGATACCGCGAGTTTTCGTAGAAGTAGAGCCTACAAGTGAGATGCTTCCGTCAGTCACAGGGGCACAACATTCCTTATGCCAGATGTTGACTTATGCCACTTCTTGCCTCCCAGTTGCCCTCCCCATCAACGCTGATGATGATGATGACAAGATCGTGGGAGGCTACACCTGTGCACCCAACTCTGTCCCCTATCAGGTCTCCCTGAATGCTGGGTATCACTTCTGTGGAGGTTCCCTCATCAGCAGCCAGTGGGTCGTGTCAGCTGCTCACTGCTACAAATCGTGAGTGCAAAAAAATATATCCTTCCGTAACCTACTTCTTTCTTCCAGTTCACTGCTAGCAGGAATTCCGAGTTGTGAGAGCCAAATACCTCAGTGACTCCGTTCTGTCAGGAGACAATCAAGGAGTGGCTGGCTCATTCTGGAAGCTGGGCTGAGGCATCATAAGGGCTTTTCCACTTCTGCAAGTGTTTCTGTGAACGCAGAGCACTTTCTGAAATGACAATGTGATAAGCTAGCAATGAGTTGCTTATAAATTGCATTAAACTGGTTAAAACATTCCCAGAATGTTTGTATGAAGCACTGTTATATATTCAACTTGTCCCAGCTCAACAAAATAATCCTGCAGAAATTCACCATCTGTACTGGCAGTGGGTAAGATCTCAGTGGGGATGCCCTGGAATTATCACAGGACTAGAAAGATAACCTGCATGAAAGATAACAGCTAGTGCAACAGTGATGTTGAAGCGAGTGCATACGGTGACGGGGAAGTTCGTCCTAATCGGTCAGTAACAGTAAAGTGTATGCCATTCCTTCTCTTTTCCAGTCGCATCCAAGTGCAGCTGGGGAAACATAACCTGGAACTCACAGAATCGACAGAGCAGTTCATTAATTCAGCTAAAGTCATCCGCCACCCTGGCTACAGCTCCATGACACTGGACAATGACATCATGCTCATCAAGCTTGACGTACCAGCCCAGCTCAACCGAGCTGTCCAAACGGTTCCTCTGCCTACCAGCTGTGTGGCCACAGGCACCACATGCCTAATCTCTGGCTGGGGCAACACACTCAGCAATGGCAGTGAGTACTCTCTGCGAATGTACAGCATCACGAGGGACCGGGAGACACTCTAAGACCTCACAATTTACTCCACACACTACAGGGGAAAGCGCAGAGAAGTGCTGTGGCACAGGCCTTTTGGAGTGATCAGTCTGTTTAAGACAGTAATGATTTAACCACTCCAAAGACAATTATTTTAAGGTCCTTCCTCTTCTTCTATGTTACAAACATGAAATCACTTAAGTCACCCATGTGCTGCAGTTCTGTCTAAACTTGGCTGCAGTTCTGTCTAAACAAAAGG